TTAACTTTTACCAAAGTATTTTTATGATAAGATACTTGTACTTTTACTCAAGTATCACTTTGAAGTACTTTATACAACATCACTATCAAATTATAATAATCCTAAATAACTAGAAGAAGTATAAAATATTGAGACTGGAGAAGATAAAGCTGTGTAAATGGTGGGGGGCATCACATTTAGGGAGTGTCTTTGCGCCCCCCCACCACCCCACCTCTGTCGCGGCTCAAGGGTGTGTTATTTTATAAATATTATAAAAAAATTCTTTATTGTGTCTTATTTTGTAGTACCGCCTCACTGTAAAGCGGAAGTCCCATTCAAACATCAGCAGCCTGACGTACATTGTTCTGATTGGACAATCATCCTCCCGCTAAGCCTGGCCAATCAGCGAGCAGATCGGACATATAAATACCGGCACTCCGCAGCTCTTTTCATCTCGTAGAGCTTATCTTCACTGAATAAATTCTAACAACAAAAGTAAACTTTGAACCATGTCTGGACGCGGAAAGACCGGAGGCAAAGCCAGAGCTAAGGCCAAGACCCGCTCCTCCAGAGCCGGACTGCAGTTCCCGGTGGGCCGTGTCCACAGGCTGCTGAGGAAGGGTAACTATGCTGAGCGAGTCGGTGCTGGAGCTCCGGTCTACCTGGCCGCGGTGCTGGAGTACCTGACCGCTGAGATCCTGGAGCTGGCGGGGAACGCAGCTCGCGACAACAAGAAGACCAGGATCATCCCCCGCCATCTGCAGCTGGCCGTGAGGAACGATGAGGAGCTGAACAAGCTGCTGGGAGGAGTGACCATCGCTCAGGGAGGGGTCCTGCCCAACATCCAGGCCGTCCTGCTGCCCAAGAAGACCGAGAAACCCGCCAAGTCCAAGTAGATCCTCCAGACTACTAAACCCAAAGGCTCTTTTAAGAGCCACCCACTCCTGCTTACAGAGCGTCTTTATTCCTTTTTACCTTAAGATTAATAAGATGTGACGTCATTCAAAGGAGTTATTCTTAAAGTGCTGGGTACTACATTAACTACTTAATATGAAATATGGAATTACTAAATTTAATTAGTTAAATTCGGTAAACAATATGTGGTGTTTGAATCTTTCAAACTGCCTGGTCATAAGGCCAGAGTAAAGGTTGATTTTTTTTTTAAACACATTTAAACAATTAAAATCTAACAAGAATACTTTACACCAAATAAAAATACATATTCTCTAGAGCAGGGGTTCTAAAGACATTTGGGTCTGGGGACCCCTTACAAGAAAAAAAAATTCCAGGGACCCCCTCAAACCGCAGGTTTTATAAGAATTTATCTTTTCAACCCCTAAATGCCATAGGCATATATTTATGTATGTTTTATTAGTTCATTGTTCTCCATGCATTTTTTTTTTGAAATGGAAGCCAAATTAAAATTTTTGTAAATTTTGAGGACTCCTGGGGGTCCAGGGACCCCAGTTTGAGAACCTCTGCTCTACAGTCCTGAGTTTAATGTCTATTTTGTGCAGCACTTCATCCAATGACTGATTATTAATTTGTATAAATATAAATTGACTCGGTTTCTTAAGAAATGCAGCAAATGTTCTGTAAAACAGGGCTTCTCAAACTGGGGTCCCAGGACCCCTAGGGGTCCGCAAGCCCTGTTTTAGGGGTCAAATTTAAATAAATTGTTAATTTGGTTTTCATTTTTAAAAATGCATATGGGGAACAATGCACTGGTAAAACATATACTAAACCAAACAAATAATTTTCCCATGACATTTAGGCAGTGTTGTATAAAGTACCTGAAAGTGATACTTCAAAAGTACAAGTATTTTATCATAAAATTACTTTGGTAAAAGTTCCTCTAATAATATTGAGTAAAAGTCTTATCTAATTTATTTTGTACTTGTATTAAAAGTGATTAGTTAAATTTTCCAAAAATCATTTATTGGGAGGTGACCTTAAAATATTTTTCTAATGGCGTGCAGCTTTGATGAATTATGTACAAACTTGCTACAGTATCAGAATAGTATCTGTTCATACTTAAAATCCAACCACAATAAAATTCATTCTACCCAGGAGCCACAATTATTCAGATTTTTTAAACAATAACGAGTCAAAATAAAATGGGAGAAACAAGTTTCTACTTCTTACCTTTTAAAATATGTAAGTAGAAAGTACAGATAATTGTGTAAAAATGTAGGAGTAGAAGTAAAAAGTATGCTGAAAATAATTACTTAAGTACAGATACCCAAAATTTCTACTTCAGTACAGTAACAAAGTGTTATAGTGTTTGTAGACAAAGTGTTTGTATTTTGTTGCATTAAAATTATTTTTAAAACAGCATGGTGTTTATGGGGGGGGGTCCCAGACCCCAAAGGTTTGATAACCTCTGCTGTACAACACAAAAGAAAAACTAACTTTAAAGTGAATACATGGACTGGTGTTGTGTTATTAAACTTCAACAATTACATTTGATTGAATCATTACAGCACCTTGTGAAAGACGTTATTTCAGTAAACTTTTACTCTGTGATGACATCAGTTCTGATGACGTCAGACTGAAGCTGTTCTGAACGCGCAGCCTGTCTTCCTTTACGTCCGCAACGTGTTTGACTTTTAAACCAGGTTGTCAGATGAGGAATTTCAGCCTTTTTCTCCCCTAAAGTCTTTATTTTAGGATTAAACCCAAATTACAATTACAGATAATCTTAAAACCAAACCTCCAGATAAACAGCTCAAATTGTGTACAAACATAAATGACCCTTAAATGTTCAAACCAAAGTAGAGGTGATTTACTTTGAAGTCAGAATAAACCTCTTACTTTGTAGTTTACCATAAAACAGACAAAATACATAATGAAGTTTTCTTTCTTCAGTGTTAATGATTAAAGTTTTATCTCCAGTCAATGAAGAGAAGATGAAGAGTTTCATCTTCACTAAACACCACATGATGTTTAGAGGTTTTATCATCAATGTTCGTTACAACTGCAAGATAAAACACAGCTCCTGTTCATCTACTGATTAATCTAACCTTTTAAATCAAATACATTTATTTTACAATCACTGTTAATGCAGTTAAAATGGACAAACCATCTCAGTCTTTTATTGTGAAAGTTCACGTCACTCTCCGGAACTGGATAAACTTGTGACGCTAACTTTTTAAACGGAAGTAAACACGTGCAAGTGGCTGTCTTCAGTTACGTCCGCTGAACGTGTTTAAAGAAGAGGCTCGCCTGAGCGGCTCCATCAGTTTGACCTGACAAAGCTAACTGTAACCATGTCTGGAAGAGGAAAAGGCGGGAAAGGACTCGGAAAAGGAGGCGCTAAGCGGCACCGTAAAGTCCTCCGTGACAACATCCAGGGGATCACTAAGCCCGCCATCCGCCGTCTGGCTCGTCGCGGCGGAGTGAAGCGTATCTCCGGCCTGATCTACGAGGAGACCCGCGGCGTCCTGAAGGTGTTCCTGGAGAACGTGATCCGTGACGCCGTCACCTACACGGAGCACGCCAAGAGGAAGACGGTGACCGCCATGGACGTGGTGTACGCCCTGAAGAGGCAGGGTCGAACCCTGTACGGCTTTGGAGGTTAAACCCGACGACTGGATCAACAAAACGGCTCTTTTAAGAGCCACCCACACTTCTGAAGAGATCATTCCCTTCATGTTTCAACATTAATATGATAAACATCTATACTATTCAAGTCATTATACTGATAATATATTAATTAATATAAGATTCCTAATGAGTTTAATAAATAAAATACAGCTTAAACACTAGCTGCCATCTACAGTACAGAGATGTAAATTAAAGTAGTGATGTTATATCAATTTTCTTTCCAATACTGATTTAAAGTAAAATGTGGCTGGTATCACCAATACTGATACTTTGATAACACATAATGTGTCTGGTAAATCTTAAAAAAGTAGTGTTATTCAAATAACCACTTTATAAATAATATTAATTTAAAACTCATTCTAACCCTTAACTACATTTGTTTAGCACAATTTTAAATTCTTATTCTAAAGAAATGTAGTAATTTTTGAATAGTGAGTAAAAGTGAGGAAAAAAGGTTTTAAAAGTTGTTACTTTGTATATTTTGTAGCATTGTTTGTGGGTTTGCAAGAAGGTCCTTAGCCAGAGCTAATGTTGTTTTGGGGGGCCATGGCATGAAAAAGTTTGGGAACCCCTCATCTAGAGTGTAACAATCAAACAAAGCAGATTTTATGTTAAAATAGTTAATAATAATAAATTTAATAAATAAAATACAGCTAAAACTCTAGCTGTAATCTACAGTACAGAGTTGTGAAGTAACTAAGTACAAATACTTCATTACTGTACTTAAGTTGAATTTTTGTGTATCTGTACTTGAGTAATTTTCAGCGTACTTTTTACTTCTTACATTTTAAAAAAAGACAAAAAGTATAAAGTTCCTTTTATTTCATTTCTGCTTGTTTTCATTGCAGCTTGTTGTTGTAAAAAATAAAAACTATCCATATAAACTGAGCCTCCTAGATAGAGTGAATTTAACTGTGGTTGAATGAGAAGTATAAATATATAAAACTCTGATAGTGTATTAGTTTGTACACAAACAAATCATGTCACACTCCAGCAGGACAGAATCATTCAAATCAAAGGACTGTACTTAAGAAGTATTTGTATTTCATGATGTAATGAATGGAGTACTGA